CCAAATTCATCTATTCCAGCAATTATACAATGTTTCATAGCAACAAAGTATAAAATTTATTGTTTGAGCGTTAACCTATGATAGTTTATCATTTTTTATCAGCTGATTTTACCTCTTTAGCGCACCATCACCGCAGTTCAATTTCAATTACAACAGCAATCAAATGCCCAACAATGGATACCAACCAAATGGTGCGGGTCACGGTAACACGTACAACAATCCAACTGGATGTGCAAATCTTCAATGCCAATCGAATGCTGGTTGCATTCCATGTAGCCAATATCCAGCAGATGCCACGAATTTATACTCTGGCTCGAATCCTGCCAACTATGATCAGAACGGGTACAGTAATCCAGCTGGAGTGAATCAAAACTTACCGTTTGGATATCCTACACAGAACAACGGCTATGTCAATCAGAACAATGGCTACGGTAATCAGAATGCTGGCCAAAGTCAGCCAATCGGCTCTGGGTACGGCTATGAGCAGGACAATAATCAGTACCAGCCATCGGGTTCTGCTAACGAGTTCGGTGTGTACTATGATCAAAATGTAAGTTTGCAAGGGTTCCTCAAGTATATTGCTCCCATCCATTTGTTCCGTGTTGAACTGAGTGCGACGCACGCGGTTGCGGCGCGGTTCAGACACGATGTGGTAGAAGTATGAACGATGTTCATTCGTGCCTATAACTTCGCTCCGATTTCAGAGCGGATCTAACACCCAGCAGGTCCTCAGTAATCCTCAATCTATCGCGTCTTTACAGTCCATCTGTCAGGTCAGTGCTGAGAAAAAAATAGTATGAATCGATCAGTCAATAATCGATCAATTATAGATATCTTCTGATGCGGGCATCGTGTCTCAGACAGCAAGCGAAATCGATTTATTCATGAAAAATGGAAATCAATATGTTAGAGTGTATCAATTCACACATGTTACTGATCTTGGACGACAAAATGTGCCAGATACGGGAGCATGGAAACGTGAGTAGCCCTTTTGCACTTTCTTCATTAGGCTGATCAAAGTGATCAGCCATCTTTAGGGTATGACTTTCAACTGAATTTTTTTT